TCTCTTTGTGACTTCGCTCGCTACAGTGCTACTTGTGGCTACACTAGACCTAACAGATTTACTGTCCTCCCTGCCATCATCACTTGGCAAGGCATCATCAGCAGCAACGATATCCTTGGAGTACTTTTTAACCCTCAAGGAGATTAAAATGCTCGAGCAGATGCCCAGAATGGGAAAGATATAAGACCTGAGTTGAGATTTATGGGACCCAGCTGATGCAGAAGCTACAGCAGCACCAGCAAGACTTCCAATGGATGTGTTCTGTAAGATCATAGGCAGGCAGCCAACCGCAGTTGGAAGAAGGAAGTCCAAAACAAACCTAACTCTTGTGGCGGCTAACGCATAGTTAATAATGTACGATGGTATAGGTGAGAAGCGAGCAAGAAGAATAAATCTCCAACCATCACGTTCAAGCCCCCTAGAAAGCACTTTAAAGTATTTGTTGCTGTGTGCCCAGTTCATTGCAGAGGTCGATCTCTTGAACATAATCCTGAGGAATGAGCAATATCAGTGTCAATGGTTGCAAAGCACACACAATGTTGAGATATGGGGTCATTGCATATTTGCATATGCGTGTTTGTTTGGGAAACACAAACAAAAAGGCCCATTGTTTTATTGCATAGCTTTTTCCCATTAGAGAGAGATGCCCAGGCATTGGATTGTTTTTTTTTTATTTACCTGGGGAAAAAATAGCAATGTGCCATAGATTTGTAGGGGGAGCAGAAATGACTTACTTATTTTGAGTTTGTCACTTACTTATGTGTCCACATGTGTTCATGCTTTGCAAATTTAATAAGCAAATTTATTGTTCTCTTAATACGCATGTCACGTCCTCATGTCCAAAAATAGCATTCACTTCTTCATGTCCAAAGATAGTGGGACAGAGCTAGTATTATATATGTGTAGGATAACTTAAGAAACCCACTGATCTATTCTTAACATTCAATTTCACAAATGCAATCGTGAACTTCCAAATTTTGAGTGACTCTATTTCTTCCTTATTTTCATTTTTCCGTCTTCTTCGTCATAAATTATCTTCACTCTCATCATACGGAAAAGATTATGTAGTTGACGTTATTTCTCATTGCTTCAACATTTTTTGACAGCACATATTTCACTCTTAATAAACGTGTCAAGTCAATACGGGAGATTAGACAGTTGAAAATGGAGTGGGGGAGTAACATTTATAGTTTCAGATCAGTTTAGTTCTCTCGGACTGCGATGGCTGGATTGTGTTTTGCATGCTAGTGCAAGCATAATGACAGAACAACCTAACAAGCTAATCATACATGCAAGCATATTTTGGTCAGATAAGGTATTAGCAGTACCAAAATATTCGAATATGGACGCTCTACAAGGTATGATGATGTGTATTGACATGTTAATTTTAGAATTGTGGAAAACACAAACCAGCGTTTAACACAGGCTGAGTGGACAGGAAAACACATTGTTTACAATTATCGAAGGGCATAGCTGAATTAATTTGAAGGAACTGAAATTTCAAACTAGATTTTGGGGGTGTTTGGAACTGCTTCTGCTTCTTTTTTAAAGTTGAAGCAGAATCAGAATCAGTTTTCAGAAGCTGGTCACCCCCAACTTCTAAAAAAAAACTGATTCTACGGGTAAATTTAAGTATCAAAATCACCTCTGCACTTTCACCCAAATACTCCCGCTTCTACTCCCTGAAGGAGAGAAGCCAGGGAGCAGAAGCATTTTTAAAATCAGATCCAAACATCCCCTAATATGTTTTTAAAATGAACCTAAAAATACAGAGTATTATAAAAAATCACCAGCACGATCAAATAGAATGCATCATTCAACAAGGAATTGAGCTAAAACACAGCAAATCCAACAATCAAGGTTTAAACCTATTACAGAAAGAGAGGAGGTGTACCTGCCGATCCAGAAAGAGAGAGAGGCGCCAAGGAGCTTGGCAGAGAAGACGCATAAGACGGCAGGGAAGAATCCGAAGAGGATAGATGCGCCGGCCTCGAAGAAGATGGCATACGGAAGGCAGAGCGCGAGTGTGATCGTGTGAAGGCCGACGTAGACCGGGATCGCCCAGAAACCGAGCCGATCAGACAATTGCTTGAACCAATCAATAGCAGCGTCTTTGTTGACCTCCCATCCCAACTGTTTGCTCAGAACCTTTAGCATCACCGCTATCCCAACCACGGCCGCTATCGTCCCCCATTTTCCGGCCAATCCCATGTCGGAGGTGAACGAAGGCTGTACTATTTCTTTCTTTGCCGGCCGTAGTCCGCAGTAACCCAGATCATTGTATTGTGCAAGTACACGGTAAAAGATGCTTCAGAAGGCAGAACCACAACAGTAACTTTTATTTTTCCTGTTTATGAAAACTATTTTCCTGGTAAATAAAAACAAGAAATTAGGTTCTGTTTGCAACAACTTCTACTTTTAAAAAAGTGCTTTTTTTAATGAAATGGGAAGAAGTGATTAAATAAAAGTTGATAGTGTTTGAGAAAAAAGTGATTTTGAAAAGTAAAAGTGGGTAGTGTTTGGTAAAATAAGTGCTTTTTGTGTAATAGAAAAAGTAAAAGCACTTTTGACGCGGAAGCCGAGAAAAATAAAAGTTGTAATGTTTGGGAAAATAAGTGTTTTTTTAAAGCCAAAAGTTGAGAAGTGCTTTTTTAAAAGTAGTTGCAAACCAACCCTTAGTGCTTTCAATGAGAAAGATGCAGAACTTTTATTAGGAGGCTTTCTACTCCGCCCCTTCTCGGGAGTATATGTTTTGACACAAAATTTAAGAAGAAATTAATAAGGTTAGGATAAAAGGTGTAGTGAGTTGTATGTAAAAGAAAAAGTAGGAAAGAGAATGAAAAAGTATGAAAGAGAATGATGGTAAATGAGTATATTTATTGCAAAAACTTACCAAAAATAGAAAGAAAGACAACTAATAGAGAACATCCCAAAATGAAAAGAGGAGCAAGTATTAGAGAACAGAGGGAGTATTTTTTTTATAATTTCAATTTCTACTATTTTTATTTTACGCCCTCATTGATTTTATAAAAACACCCATTCCAATGTACTTCCTCACTACTTTTTTCATTTGCAATATTTTTGACAAAAATCTAAGTGAAAAATAACAGGAATAATGTAGGACCAAAACAGTGATAAGGTTCACAAAGAGGTTTATAGAAGGAAAATCGTATATATTGTTCCTCAGTTATCCACAAAATTAAAATCTCAGACCTGTATTTCTGAGATTGTAAATGTCACTCCTCAATTGTCCAAATTGTTGTAAATGTGGTCATTTTAGTAGTGAAATGTACTCTCGCGCACATTATATATTTCACCCCTTAAAAGGACCACATTTACAACATTTTGGACAATTGAGGGGTGACATTTACCATCTCTCAAATACAGGTTTGAGATTTTAATTTCGTCGATAACTGAGGGACCATATATGCGATTTTCCCTTTATAGAAAAATAACTTTAAATAATACAAACTATTTTGCATGAACTAAGAATAACACATACTTTGGAAATTCCATGTAATAATATCAACTATCTAAATATTGACCAAAAGTGATATAGATCATTTTTTTAATGAAAATTCAATTATCTAATTCATCAAAAACTAGTATAAAAATATCAAATAAGTGATTGTATTTCCAAATATAATGTATTTTTGATAGCTTCAAAGCTTGCTATTAGTTTTTAATATCTTAAATGACTAGATTTCTTGATAAAAAGTGACCCCATATTATTTTTGTTTTATATTCAAATAGTTGGTATTATTAAAAATCATTTTCAAAGTATGTATTATTATTGATTTATGGGTGATAGTTTGTATTATTTAAAGTTAATTTCCCTTGTTTTATTCTCAAAATAGGACTTATTAACTCTTATTTTGGAAGTATGAATCAACATATTTTTTTAATAGAATTAAATGAGTCCTATTTCGAGAATAAAAAATATTTAGTCTTATGTTTGCACCATGTATATGCTTTGGTCTTATATTGAGCCATTTCTATAACATAAAATGATATATTATGTGAAAAAATGCATGTAATGTGTAATTAAAAGGGAAAATAATTTTAAATAATAGCAATTATCTTTAATGAACCAATAATAATACGTAATTTAAAAACAACTTTTAATAATACAACATATTCGAATATTGATCAAAAGTAATATAAAGAAAATTTTCACTAAATGATAAAAAACTAATATCAAAATATCAAATAACTGGTCACATTTCCAAATATCATTTATTTGACGGTTAAATATTAGCTTTGATGTATTAAATGACCAATTTTTTCTAGTAGAAAACTGACTCCATATTACATCATACATCTGTGTCTCATTTGGTTTTGGCACAATTTTTAATAAAGTGGTTGAAAAAGTAAAAATTGTGGTTGTGATTTAGTATAATAAAGTGAAATGTTGTAAATCACATATTTTTCCAAAAAGGACAATGTGACACTTATTTTGGGATAACCCAAAAAGGAAAGTAAGACAGGTAAAACGGGACGGAGGGAATAGTATTTTTAATTTTTTATCTACGTCAAATAGTTGATATTAATAAAATTTATTTTTAAAGTTTGTATTATTCCTGATTCATGCAAAATAGTTGATATTATTTAAAGTTAAATATATGGAAACACCATACATTGGGAAATAATTAGTCATATACTTCATCTTTTCTTAAATAAGTGTTCATATGTCTTACTTTAACATTGTTCATATGTCTTACTTTAACGACACTTTCTTTTTACTCCTGGGGGCGTCTGGGGGAGGGGGGTTGGGGGGCCTGAAGTAATTGGGGCTGAAACTCAGCCAATTGAGTTTTGAACTCGAGAGTCGAGACCCTCGTAAGGGAGAGTGAGTCGGCGACCAGCTGGGCTGGACCGCTTCCTCACTTTAATGACACTTTATTTATGAATGTAGTAATACATCACTCCGTAAAGTTTGTCTCATTATAAATTTCCAATATTTGATTTTTCAAAATTTTTCTACGAATAGAATATTATACGGAGTATATATTAATGATAAAAATTATACATTAACAAACGTGAAAAGAGAATTGTTGCATTCTCTTTATAATCTCTAAGACTAGAGGATGAAGTTTTTTTTTCATCGAACATGCATTCATTCATAAAAAGCACTCAGAAAGGAGTTGAAATAACAAAAGGATCACAATAACCATCCGCCTGTGGACGAGACTCTGAGTTAATCACCTTTAACAAAGCAATATAACTCGCTAATCCAAAATTGGGCATATTCAAAACCACGACGATTACCGCAGGCCTCTCATCCCCCAATCCAAGTGCAAAAGTCTTACAGCATAAAATAAATAAGCAACAAAACACAATCGAAATAAAATAAAAACAAAACACAATTGACTCAGCAGAAATAGAAATACTCGTCCAAACCCTAGTCGCAGAATTCCTCCAAGGCGGCGGTTTTGGAGGTGGGCGAATCAACATCCCTTCGTCTTCTTTCACACATAGGCCACCAATGAACCCCTGAAATTTGATTTTCCAGTCCGACAACACGATGTCGACCACCAGAAACTCCATGCTATCACCAATAGCCATCTGTTTCGTCAAAAGTCAGAATTACTCTTATTATTTGGATATAAGATAGGAATTCAACCTTCCACCTAATTTGACAGCACGATGTCGACTCGTCCTTAATGCCTACCTTCCACCTCGATCGCAGCCAATTGCACTCGTCAGTCTGTCGTCAACCTACTGCTCTCGATCCTCAGCCAAAAGACAAAGTCGGAAAACGAACCTAGCGGTGGCCAAACCCTAGGGGGACCGAAGGTTTAGAGAGCAATGCTCTCGCTCCGGGAATTCTCGCCTCTATGAAGTTTTATAATACACGTATTATGAGTAAATTATTTCGAGTAAAATCTAATGAGTATTTCAAGTCAGAAAAAACTATGGAAGCAACGTTTTGCAGTAGGGAGATAAATTCATAGACTTAATTTTATCGGGACTAAACCTCAATAGGTCTAAGTTATGAGACCAAAAATTATTTTTCCTTTATAGAAGTATCACATATCGTTAATCCATGGCATACCATATGCCAGAGCCAGATTCATTTGTAACCCTTGGAGGCTTGGACTTAAAAATATACTTCAACGAATCAACATTTGTTTAGTTAAACATTGTTACTAGTACTTGCTAAACAAAAAAACAGGTTAATTAAATTATAAATTTAAAGCGTATGCGAAATACATATACCTCATTCAAATAAATATTTTTAACATGAACGACGTATAATTTTTATTAGAGCATCTCCAATGCTATAATGTCCACGGTGCACATGTGGCATGAGTGATAGCCACATAATTATTAGCAAATAAATTATTTCTCTCCTTATTTGAATGATTTTATACAATTTTGGTAAGTTTTTCCCTGCAATGTCAACAACAATGTCAACATTAGACGGTCTCCTTGACATTGTGGACAAAAACTTACCAAAACTGTATAAAATCATTTAAATAAGGAGAGAAATAATTTATTTACTAATATTTATATGGTCATCTCTCATGCCACGTGTGCACCGTGCACATTGTACCATTGAAGATGCTCTTAGGGGCCTCCAAATTAACATATATAGTTATTATAATCAACTCAATATAAACTCATAACAGTTATATGGGTCAACACATACTTGGGCATTTAAGATCTTGAAATTAAAACAACCAATTACACCAATTAGTTGGCCAATTCAATTCGTCACTTTCGATTTGATCGGTAGGGACCTAAAAGAAATGCATAACCATTTGAAATTGATAGACTTTTGTAGCTTTGTATTGGTTTATTTTAAAAAAAATTGTGTCGAATTTGGCATGTTTTAAGCTCAACTATAAATCACAAAAAGTTGCATTCTGTTGGGTTATTTCAAAAAGTTGCGTCAACGTTTAGTTTATTTCGTCTTTGGTCAGTTGCATTTTGTTGGGTTAGGTTTCACAGTTTCAATCGATCAATTTCGGTTTAGCTGTTTTTCCAAGCTTAGGGGTAGTAAATCACCCTCAATAAAAACTAACCAGCAACAGCAAAGAGTATCATGGATTCATTGTCAAACATCGGAAACATAGTAGTAGTGTGGTTTGCCCAACTCTGGTGGAGGTAATAGTAACGCCATTTTATATAAACTTATAAAGTTATATAAATGTTTTTAATGGCAATGTAGATAGAATATGTGTGGAGATAATGTGTTAGAAAATTAATTCTATTTCAAATAAATAAATTATTTTGTAACGGAATGTTTATTTGGCCGATCATGTGGGTCTTGGGTTTGGTAACGTGCGTTTAAGGCCGACCAACTTTACTTGGCTTAGCATTTTCATCTCCACTTTTTTAGGATCCAAATATCCATCCGTTACTTAATTCCTTTATTATATTAATAATATAAAAGAGACCTCCTGGTGAGGTGATAAGAACACTTCGGCTTCTAACTATCCTCTGAAAACTACCTTTACAAAGTCCTTCATTAAAATGCTTTCTCACAAAAGCTTCTGCTGGATTATCATGATAATTTCCCTCGTAGTTTTGGTTCCGACTATATGTCGAAGGGCTCGTTTAATCCTGGGGGAAGATTTCCATTCACCGGAAATACTTTCAGAGGACAGCGTTTACGCGTCTCGAGCCGTTGATTCTTTCATTAGCTTTCTTTGCAGGAGTATCATTGTGTTGACGGTGCTAGACCTGTGGACCTGCGGCAGAACTCCTTCAAATATATATGAAGATAGAATAAGTTGCTGCCATGCAAGTAATAAAGAGGATGATACGGAGGAATTTCCATGCCGCCGCAAACTGCCGGAGGGGAAGATAGAAACTGCTCGCCGGAGTGCTGCACGTTCACCGGACAGAACTGGACGGCCAGGAGCTAAGGATGAAGTCAATTTAACAACAATCTCTGAAAGTATTATTGGACGAAGCACGCTCCTACGGTTCCAGTTTAATGGGTTGCTGAGAAATCTGGTATCTCCTTTAATTATTGTAGTTACCTTATTCGCATACTACTGTGTTGGGAGTTTACCCGACTTTGCCGGAATATATGTTCTGCATATTACAAGTTTTAAATTGTTAGTTGTCACCCTATTCACAATAAGCCTTGGTTTAATCCCACTTATTATAATTTATGTCATTGTATGTGATAGAAAGACAACTATGAGAAACAATAATCCACTTAAATCAAAAATAAAATTAATTAAAAGTGATGAAAATTTTATTGCGGTTGTTTCTCAAAGTTGTAAAATAAATGATGTGAATGAATGGTTGGTAGACTCCGGGGCTACCAAGCACATTTGTAAAAACAAAAGTGCTTTTACCTCCTATAGTACTACTATGGGAGATGATGAAGAGCTCGTGTACCTAGCGGACTCAAAAACCGCAAAGGTGCATGGTAAAGGGAAAGTTCTTCTTAAACTCACATCGGGGAAAACTTTATCACTAAATGACGTACTTTATGTGCCTGAGTTTCGGACTAATTTAGTTTCTGTTTCTCTCTTGGTAAAAGCTGGGATTAAAGTATCTTTTGATTGTAACAAAATTGTTATGACCAAAAATGATGTTTTTGTGGGCAAAGGCTATTGTAAGAATGGACGTTATGTGCTTAGTATTCCGAAATTAATGCGTGAAAATGCTTCTTATTTGATTGATTCATATGATGTGTGGCATGCAAGATTAGGACATGTGAGTGATTCTTATATCAATTTGTTGCGTGATCGTGGTTTGATTTCTAGTGGAAAGAAATTGACACTAGAAAAATGTGATATTTGTGTTGAATCAAAACAAACCAAAAAATCATGTCCTACCACACATAGGGAATCAGAATTGCTTGAGTTAATCCACACGGATTTAGGTGATTTAAAAAATACTATGACTAGAGGTGGTAATAAATTTTATGTCACCTTTATTGATGATTTTTCGAGATACACTAAAGTTTATTTGCTTAAAAGTAAAGATGCTTTTGATAAATTTTTAGTGTATAAATCCGAGGTGGAAAATCAATTGAATAAGAAGATTAAGAGAGTGAGATCGGATAGAGGGGGCGAATATATTTTAATAAATGATTTTTGTGAGAGGGAAGGGATTATCCATGAGATAACTCCCCCGTATTCGCCCGAATCCAATGGAATAGCTGAAAGAAAAAATAGGACATTAAAAGAAATGATGAATGCTCTTTTAATTAGTTCTGGTGCTCCTGATAATCTGTGGGGGGAGACTATTCTTTCTGCTTGTCACTTACAAAACAGAATTCCTTATAAGCACAATAAGAGAACACCCTATGAATTGTGGAAAGGTTATGTGCCTAATTTGAAATATTTGAAAGTGTGGGGGTGTTTGGCTAAAGTCTTATTGCCTGATCCTAAGAAGAGGAAAATTGGTTCTAAGACATCTGATTGCATATTTATTGGTTATGCTGAATGTAGTGCTGCTTATAGATTTCTTGTTTTGAAAAGTGATGTGCTTAGTTGCAATACTATTATTGAAACAAAAAATGCTGAATTTTTTGAGAGTGTGTTTCCTTTAAAGCCAGAATACAAGACCGTTGTGCCATATCGTGAAAGTGAGCCATTAAAAGAAAATAATACTTTTAATGATGAACCCTCTAATTTGAGAAGAAGTAAGAGGCCAAGGATAGAAAAATCTTTTGGAAATGATTTTTATACATATCTTGTTAATGATGAACCTTTTACTTATTCACAAGCTATTTCATCAAAAGAGGCTCCTTTTTGGCTTGAGGCAATTCAAAATGAAATTGAATCTATTCAGAAAAATAAAACTTGGATTTTAACTGATTTGCCTAAAGGGTGCAAACCAATCGGATGTAAATGGATTTTTAAAAAGAAATTTAATCCGGATGGTTCAATTGACAAATATAAAGCGAGGCTTGTGGCAAAAGGTTTTTCTCAAAAACAAGATGTTGATTATTTTGATATTTTTGCACCGGTAACGAGAATATCTTCCATTAGAACTTTAATTGCCTTGGCTTCTATTCACAAACTTCTTATCCATCAAATGGATGTTAAAACGGCATTTTTAAATGGTGAATTAGAGGAAGAAATTTATATGGTGCAACCGGAGGGTCATGTAGTTTCTGGACAGGAACACAAAGTGTGTAAGTTGGTCAAATCTTTATATGGTTTGAAACAAGCTCCTAAACAATGGAATGAAAAATTTGATGAAGTATTATTTGCTCATGGTTTTACCTCACTTGAAGTAGATAAATGTGTATACACTAAAATAAAAAATGGTGTGTGCATTATTATTTGCTTGTATGTGGATGACATGCTAATATTTAGTAGCAACCTTGAGTTAATAAATGAGACAAAATCATTTCTTGCTTCAAAATTTGATATGAAAGATTTGGGTGAAGCAAAATTAATTTTAGGTATTAAAGTCATAAGGAAGGATGATGGTATTATACTATCTCAAGAGCACTATGCTGAAAAACTTCTAAAGAAGTTTGGACATTTCGATGTCAAACCTGTGAATACCCCTTATGACTCTAATACACATTTGAAAAAGCATAGAGGTGATCCCGAGGCTCAATATGAATATGCACAAATAATTGGGAGTTTGTTACATTTAATGAACTATACGAGACCCGACATAGCTTATGCTATCGGAAGATTGAGCCGATATACCCATAATCCAAATGGGGATCATTGGACCGCGTTGAGGCGGTTACTGAGATATTTGAGAGGTACCATGAATTATGGTATATTTTATAGAGGTTTACCCGCTGTACTAGAGGGATACAGCGATGCCAACTGGGTCTCTGACTCAGATGAGATTAAATCCAATACTGGATATATATTCACCCTTGGAGGTGGTGCTATTATGTGGAAATCAACCAAACAATCTCTCATTTCTAGATCCACTATGGAGTCCGAGCTTATAGCTTTGGAAGTGACTAGTAGTGAGGCGGAGTGGTTGAAAAATTTCTTAGCAGAAATTCCGGTTGGTACAAAACCAACACCATCGGTGTCTATTCTTTGTGATTGCCAAAGTGCAATAAATACTGCTAAGAAAATGTGTTATAATGGGAAGAATAGACATATTCGTTTAAGGCATAAAGTCATTAAACGATTATTGAAGAATGGAATTATTTCCATTAATTTTGTGAGGTCAGAAGGAAATCTAGCAGATCCTTTGACTAAAGCCCTAGGACGAAAAATGATAAGTGAAACCTCGAGGGAAATGGGACTTGTGTCACTTGATTACAAATAGGGATGGTAACCCAACTTGTGTGATTGGAGATCCCATGAAGCAAGTTCATATGGGTAATAACAAGTCTTCTATTTGTTCTGCTAGCCTTATTACAAGTCTCTTTATATGGTGTGGAAGGCTAGACTGCATTCGCTGTGAGGCTGAGCTAAAACTCTTAATGATTTTCATAGCCCTTACGGGTGGTGTGTTAAGTGCAGAACACACTTGATGAGATCACCTATATGAGTGTGAGGTGGGGCCGCCTCTATGAAGCCTTGACAACGCTTCTAGAGCACTCACGAACACCAGGCACGCGCAGACTATACGTTTCACCAAAAGCTCGGTTTATAAAGACTTAATCGTCTCGGTTTGGTTCATAGTCTTCGGACACCAGACTTAAAGTCTCATTCCTTTAATCCAGCAAACTTTAAAAATGTTTTTTTTCTCAAAATATTTATTTGAAATATGTGGGGGATTGTTAGAAAATTAATTCTATTTCAAATAAATAAATTATTTTGTAACGGAATGTTTATTTGGCCGATCATGTGGGTCTTGGGTTTGGTAACGTGCGTTTAAGGCTGACCAACTTTACTTGGCTTATCATTTTCATCTCCACTTTTTTAGGATCCAAATATCCATCCGTTACTTAATTCCTTTATTATATTAATAATATAAAAGAGACCTCCTGGTGAGGTGATAAGAACACTTCGGCTTCTAACTATCCTCTGAAAACTACCTTTACAAAGTCCTTCATTAAAATGCTTTCTCACAAAAGCTTCTGCTGGATTATCATGATAATTTCCCTCGTAGTTTTGGTTCCGACTATATGTCGAAGGGCTCGTTTAATCCTGGGGGAAGATTTCCATTCACCGGAAATACTTTCAGAGGACAGCGTTTACGCGTCTCGAGCCGTTGATTCTTTCATTAGCTTTCTTTGCAGGAGTATCATTGTGTTGACGGTGCTAGACCTGTGGACCTGCGGCAGAACTCCTTCAAATATATATGAAGATAGAATAAGTTGCTGCCATGCAAGTAATAAAGAGGATGATACGGAGGAATTTCCATGCCGCCGCAAACTGCCGGAGGGGAAGATAGAAACTGCTCGCCGGAGTGCTGCACGTTCACCGGACAGAACTGGACGGCCAGGAGCTAAGGATGAAGTCAATTTAACAACATAATGTATACACTAAGTTAATCGGTGAAGCACATGGATTCTAAGGTCTTACTATCCCCATTTAATGAGAGCAATTCTGTGCAACGAATACACATCTTTCCTATTACACGTTATCATCACAATATAGCTCTCCGGTTTCTTTTCTCTCTGACAGTAGCCAGTTAATATCAGCTCTTTTTTATATTTTTTGGCCTTGTCCCTGCGCATCACATCTGCCAATACTTTCATCCCTACACAATTCAACCGACACTTCACTCTAGGTTAGACTTACCAAAGATTTGCTTGTAGCCACTGAATATGTCAATGATTCAATAAGGATATGTTGCGCCACAAGGCACGACTCAACTTTTGCGAAAAAATAATCACATAAGGTAAAGTGATTGAAAATACTTTTTCTACATTTCCTAGATCAGCACTTATAACGGCGAACGAGTATAGATTGGAATGTGATAACAAAAGAATAACAACATATAATCAATTAATGAATCTACTCCAAATGGCTGAAAGGCATAATGAAGTTCTTTTGAACAATAATGCTAGACCAATCAGGACAAAGAAAATTGTCGAAATGAGCAGTGAAAAGAACCTCAATGTAAGGAGTGAACGACATGCCAATTCTTACTTTCATGGGCAAAATTCACAACATAGGAGAGGTAGTGGAAATCGTGTAGGTTGTAGTGGTTGTGGTGGTCATGGAATGAGCCGAGGAGGGTCTTTCAAAGTGTGGAGAAGAGATGTGGGTGTTGCTAGGGGTGGACACGGTTGGCTAACCGGATTTCGGTTAACCATTTTTCGGTTAACCGAGATATCAATTGCTAAATTTTATATACGGTTACCCGTACCGTAACATTGGTTAACCAAGTGCCGGTTAACCAATATTCCGGTTAACCATTTAACGGTTAACCAATAAACCATAAAACCGTGAAAGAGAAATATAAAATTGTCGAATTTTTTGTTGTTTTTAAATTTTGAACTTACAATTTTTTAAATGCAAATGACCTTCACAACATTTCTAAGAGCACAAATTATTGCAAAAATTTGTTTATAAACATGTACTGCCCAATTTCAATACGACGATCATTCCTCCCATACAGTCTGTTCAAATTGGCTTTTTAATAAAGAAATTGTCCATAATAGGACTAAAACAATGAGTAAATTCCAAAATAGGAGTACTGGTACATTTGTCCTCGAATAGGAGTTATCAATGCATTGGACCGTTGGCTATTCCAAATTTACCCTCAACTCTAAAATTAATTTATGTCAGCTTTATCCATTCAATCTGCATCTCTACTTCCGTAGCCCGGATCCGGAGCCTCTACCTTACTTTAGAGTAAGGTAGAGTGTCTTGCTTCCTCCCGGTCGTCCGATCGACAATTCAACGGTCGGAGATCTCGGGCTCCACTTTTCGCCGATCTCGAGGTCGTGTTGGCCGCTCCCCTCCCGTCTGATGCGCAAGGCACCCTCCTAGTCGGGTAGAGGATCCTAATCCCCGTAGCCCATCTCCCATCTCATCGATTCTCTTCCCCATCCTCCCCTCTCTCCTCTAATATTTCTTCTCTCTGACATCTATTTCCAGATTTTTCTTTCCAAGCAATTCCCCCATCTCCGACGAATTACATAGTACATATGGTGAATTTTTTCTCTTCAACACTTGCCACTCCCGTGCAGCAGCAGTTATGAGAGGTAAGTTTTAATTTTCTGTTTTTTTCTCTCCTCCTTCTCCCTTCTTTTCCTTCCTTATATGGCAGATCCTTCTGGTTTTTTGCAACCGATTTTTGTTTATTTATCTTTGCTCCAATTGCTTTGCAGATCTACTTCCGTACTTCGACCTGCTTTCGTTTCTTTCTTTAGTTTTTCATTTTTTGTTTGAAACTGAAATTGCTATAATTCCAACTCTATTTTAAGGTTATTTTTATGGTATATATTGAAAATATTATCTCAACACATAGTGCCAATAGTGTCATTTCCTTACTCTCTATCCATCTAGGATGGCAAATACAATATTAATAATGCCATAATTGCCATATTTTTTGTCAAATAAAAAAGTTGATTCAACAAATAGTGCCACTTGTATATACTATATTAATAATAATGTCATAAATGCCATATTTTTTTTATCAAATAAAAACGTTGATTCCACACATAGTGTCATTTGTATATACAATATTAATAATAACGCCATAAATGCCATATTTTTTATTAAATGAAAAACGTTGATTCAACTGCCATTTGTAAATATAAAATATTAATATTAATAATAATGCCATAAATGCCATATTTTTTTATCACATAAAAAACGTTGATTCCACACATATAGTGACATTTCTATATACAATATTAATAATAATGCCATAAATGCCATGTTTTTTTATTAAATAGAAAGTTGTTTGTGCACATAGTGTCATTTAATTCGTATGACTATAAATGAAAATTTAAAGTATTGTTTCCAGATTTGAATCTGCAAAAAAAAAAGTATTGTTTCCAGATTTGAGATTTGAAGTGGTGGAGTCAAACATGGTGGTGAATTAGGATCAGGCGGAGGCAGCGGACGAGGCGGCAGCAGCGGCAACGGGCAAGGCGACGGCAGTAGCGGCGGCGATGCTGGAAGAGGCGGCAGCAACAATGGAAATGGTCAGCGGCCGGTGACAAACATCTGGCAGTGGCGCCGCCACCTACGGCGGAGGCTACTGGCGACGGAGGAGACTTCCGACGGGAAGTGGTGCAGGCGGCGTCTTGCATTGGGGTGCTGGTCGTAGGAGTACTTTCTTATCTGTACAGTTTTTGTTTCATCATTATTATTTTTACTAGCGTTATTTAATTTGATAGATTTAAAACAGAAATTAGTTTAGGGCTTCATTAAGGGTATTTACGTCCGGTCATGTCTATTCACTCCTATGTAAGCATACGGAACCTTCAACTCGTAACTTTGCACATTTGTAATGTTTAATTTTCTCCTTTGTAATATACTCCGTATGAAGTAATAAACTATAGAAGTTTGGCTCACATGCATATTTATCTGTGCATGTATTGAATAATAATTGTAATAATAATTATAATTATAACTTTTATAATAATAATTATTATTATTATAGTAATTCATAATGCCGGTCGGTAGACCAATGTACGTACTCCACCGACAAAAGTTTATCCTATTTTTTACGATAAATCTATAACTACTTTAACTAGTAAAGTCTTCAAATATTTATAATAGAAAAGATTAAAAAAAAATCATTGTAGTAAAATAAACTAATTCAAAATACGTAGAGCAGCAACACGTATGGATGAGCACGTGGCAGCCTAGCAGGTGCCCTTAATTCCGAGTGAAGAGCAAGTAAAGTCCTTATACTCATAGCCAGGGGCGGATCCAGCTTTTTAAATCAGGTGGGGCCGAAAATTGATTAAACAACGTATTTTGCAAAAAAAAATGTCGAAACGTAGTAAAATAGTACTAGTATGTTATTTAACAAAATTTATTTTCAAATAGTATGTATAAAATAAAATCTTTTGCAACATAAATGTCAAAGAAAAAATAATAAATATGATAGGAATAAGACTTTTTGTCGAATACAAAAACACCTCAAATGCATACGTATTAAAGTCATTTTCACCTACCAAGCTCAATAAATTGAACAAATTAATTTTTTAGACTGATATTTAAAAGCCCAATAGAATTCAGACAAAAAGTTTTTAGAAGTAAAAAAATGAAATATTTACACACTATTGAAAAGTTAAAAAAGAATGTTGTCCCTGGGATTCGAACTATAAACATGCAAGCCAACATGGTAATATACTACGACCTTGCTAATATGGAATCTATGCTTATTTTGACATTCTTTGTTATTATACCTTATTTAACAACACTACACATAGTATAATACATATATATACTAGTAATTTTTTTTTTTTGAGGTTGGGCCTAGGCCCTACCTGGACCATAGCCAGATCTGCCCCTGCTCATAGCAGCAGTGGCGGAACCACGGAACCGCAGAAGCACGTCACGTGTTAATTACAAAGACACAGTAGTAATTATTTTAAAATTTCATTTAGCTAGCGGTTAACCAGTGTTTACATAATTTCAACCGTAACCGTACCATGTACCATTTTTGCTTTGCGGTTGGTTAACCGTACCGCGAATTTTAAAAAAACCGGTACGGTTAACTGAAAAATACATTGGTTTTTTGGTTTTTTTTATTCGGTTAAACGGTTACGGATTTTTTTGCCCACCCCTAGGTGCTGCTCTAGTGGTCAAGGAAACAAAGTTAACAATGCACCCACAAAACCTCGAATCAAATGGGAAAGAGTAGGTGAAGAACCCTCTTACAAATTTGAAATTTCTCGACTTTGGCACAAGAATTGCCAAGCTAGCCAAAGTCGCAGCCACGCAAGAAATATCAAGAATCCAAGGAACATGAATCTCATTGTGACTGAACAAGAAAATGAGGTGGATGAGAACCTCACTATTGCTGATTTTGGTGGCAAGAAAAACACCACTTAATCAATTGAATGATTGATGCACCGAACTTTGATCAGTTGTTATACCGTATGACCGGTATACGGTGACTACCGTATACCGGCATACAGTTTTAGGCATCTTTGGAAGCTCCGCATGAAACATGTATTAAAATGATAGTGGGTCCTATTATTTATTTCTCTTATTGTTAAAAACTACTCCGTATAATAACTTTTTCATTTGTGATCTGGTTTTTATAAAATTTATATCAAATTTTTTTATTTTTCATGATCTTTCAAATGAGATCAATATTGCCTATGTAATTTTAACATATTATTTAACTATTATATTAACCTATGTAAAATATGTAATTTTACGTGTAGACAGGGCCGGCCCAGGGCATGTCTGCCCAGTGCGACCGCACAGGGCCCGGATTTTTGAAGGGCCCAAAAAAAAATTTAGTATTACGCCCCAGTCCAAAATCCCCCTGCGTAAATCTAAATATGCTTGAAGAATGTCTCTTTTTAAATAAATTGTAAATTATTAATGACTATTTTTATCATTACATTTATTCGTAAGTTGTATTTTAAGACAATTTGCTTGTGTTGCAACTTGTAAAAAGGCCCAAATTTTATTCTCGCACAGGGTCTACATTTCTTCGGGACCGGCCCTGCGTGTAGAAATATGTAACTCACGTCCAGTCAAGCCAAATGCAACTCGTGTGTATAAATATGTAACTCTACGTGTAAAAATATGTAACTTTACGTGTAAAAATATGTAACTCGCGTTCAGACATGTCAAATACAACTCGTGTGTATAAATATGTAACTCGCGTGTATAAATATGTAACTTTACGTATAAAAATATGTAACTTTACGTGTAAAAATATGTAACTCGCGTTCAGGCAGGCCAAATGCAACTCGTGTGTATAAATATGTAACTTTACGTGTACAAATATGTAATTTTACGTATAAAAATATGTAACTCACATGTATAAATACATAATACAATAAATTTTTTATATACACAATTTTAAAATAAATTGTGATTTACACAATTATTTTTCTGTATTAAATTTAGTTCGGTTTCCCTTATAATCCAATAATCATTTACATAAGAGTTTGATAATTTGTTAAAATTACATAAGCAATATTGGTCTCATTTGATAGATCATGAAAAATAACAAAATTTAATATAAAATTTATAAAAATCGGATATGAAATAAAAAAGTTATTACAATTTTTAACAACAAAAGGAATAAAAAATAAAGAAGTCAAAAATACCATATACGCTGTGTTGCTGCTTGCCAAAAATAAAGACCGGTGCTCACCGTATACCGGTCATACGGTATAATTTGCGAACTTTGATTATTTATCTTTACTTTAATTTCTTTGTTTATTGATGGACATTTAAGCATTTCCAAACTCTTGTTTTCAGATTTCCTTTTTTGTGTTGGACATTGCATTCTTGCTGTTTTATTTAAATAATTGGATTGATTTTTAAAACCAAAATAATATCCAAAATTTCCAATTCACATTTATATTACACTTCTTCATTATACAAGGATGACTCGAGGAGAACTTGAGTGTTTAGTACTTAGTATATAGTGGGATATGGAGTTGCTAGATTTATGTTACCAAATAGTACAAATTTTATATCATAGACGCTCTTTATGCACATTAAAACAAGAAACTCAAAATTTTCAGTATCAAGTTGGAATGCAATTGTTTCAAAAAATTGAAACAAGATTGCTACCATCAAACACTTCTTGTTTTTGTTTTCAAGAGAAGAAAAACAAAAACAGGGGAAAATAGAATAAGAACATTACCAGTCAACACATAATTGACAAGGAAACAAGGTTTGAAATCCACAAAGGCACAAAGTCATCTGGAATTTACAATTATATTGATCTTCAAAGTGCATAGTAGGCTTAGTAGCAACACCAATTTCTGTTTACACTTATCTGGAATAGGATCTGGTTCCCAATGAAAGAACAACCTTGATGGTATTTTCAAGCGAAAGTTCAAATAATATACTGTACGCTTACACATACCACGTCACTAACTCAAAGAGCTTTCATAACCACTTTGCTCGTTGTGTGAACACCCAAAGCAGCAAGTTTCAGAACACTTCGACTGCTGTACAACCTACAAAAACACTCCAGTAAATATGGCTACTCTTTAGGCATGTTTTAGAAATTTATCAAATCAATACAACAACATCGAAGCCTTAGTCCTAAAAGAGTTCAACAGAGTTGACATTGTATAACACAAGCATCCAAGAATAAAATTTATCAAAAGGAAACAAGGCAGAAATTTAGGTTCAAAAACTTACCCTGCAAGAGCAAGTCCCCATGTAGAGAAAGCATAAAACAACTTTCCCGCACTCCAAATATTGAGCATCGCCTCCAACTTGTTCATGCCACCCAATGCTTTTTTCAGCGCTGCAATTTGAAGTTCATGCCATATGATTGCAAGATCTCAGGAATAAAAAAATACACCGGCATAACCTATAGCAGTATGTATTAAGAAAAACCATATGAAGGAGAGCTTTACAGAATACTACATGCATCCCGCTAGGATTGCTAATTTGCTATATAATGAATCAACTACTAAAAACAGAGTATAAATAATAAGTGGACAATCTGGCTTTTATATGAGTAATCTAAATCGTAGAAATCAAGTTCAATTGGAACCTAAATCGCCTCAATGCGCCTTACTAGGGGTGTAAATGAGCCAAGCACTTCGCGAGCCGCTTGTGGACCACTCAGAAAGAGCTCGACTCGAGTTCGGTCATATTCAAGCTCAACCGGAGTTTGGTTTGACTTGAATACTTAACAAGCTCGATTCAAGCCTGTTTATTTTAGGCTCGTGGCTCACGAGCCGTGGTGTGTGTCTATACATATATTATACGTAATATATAATAATTATATATGTATATATAATATTTTTGGAAATATTTATTCTAATTTAGGATTATCCATTTTCAATATTTATTATATTACAATAGTAATAATTAAATATAATAATATTGATTATTATTATTATAGCCATAATCTGTAATAATTATAAAACGAAGTATGTTATAATTATTAGTTTTTTTCTTTAACTCTTCCAGAAAAAGGTAAAAATACTAACACAATCGTCTCAGTAGAAGAGTTGAAATTCCCCTTGCAGATGAAACTGGTCACCTAGTTCTAATCACTGCTTTGGCAGATTTTTGTGAATGTAAGATCTTAACTTAAACTTCTCATGTTTAGCTTATCTCCGATATATCATTAAGGCACCAGGCAAACAACACAAATGCTGAGTTCGGGATAAATGCCTGAGCTGAGTCGTTCTTGATCGGCTCGCGAACTTTAGTCAAAGCATTCGAGTCGAACTCGAGTTTAAATATTTAAGCTCAATTGAGCTCGAGCTGAACTCGAGCATGCACGATATTTTCAAGCTATAGTTCGAGCTTATGCGAGTTCAGGCTTGGATTGGCTTGTTTGCACCCCTACGCCTTACACCTTTTAAAACTAAGGTTAAAAAATTCCCCTAAGCAGGAGTAAAGACTATGAAATTCCA